TTCCCATTTCAGAGATCGATTTCGTTTTGTGCTGAGGCATTTGGAGCTGACGTCTGATCCAGACAAACCCGAACTGTTTCGAAAAGAGAAACGGAAACAAGTGGAGCATTTTCTGAGGAACGTACCTAAAAGTGAGTTCAATTCCAACATCCGTAGCCGTTAAGGTCGGGAGTGGCAGGTATGGATGCTAATTTTGATTTGATTCAGGTTGACGGTGTCCTGGTACTGCGAATGATCGCCTTACACGCCGGTGTCATGTTCTGTACGGAGATTACGGACGCGCTGTGGAAGCGGTATTTGTCCCAGCACCCGGAGAATCTCATCGACGAAGACTCGAGTCTGCTCACCTTTGCCAGGTAGAATTTGAGGATGCTCTATCGAAGATGGATTAAACCATGGACTTCTAGAGCGCAGTCGATTCGTCGCAAACGACACGACAGCAGCGGCAGTCAAGAAGGACAGAATCACCAACGACTTGGTAGAATACTCTCGCACAGGTAAACTGGAAAGTACTCGATTTATGTGTACTGACAATGAACCAAGCTCTTCAGGAGTACTGGTGGCAGCTTTCGCCTGAATCGTACCGGATCGACCAACAGATCGCTTACTGAGTCGAAAACGATGCCTCCCACTACTACTCCGCCAGCAACTACAGCCAGGTCAGTGCTTAACTTCTTGCACTTCTTTCCAGATTCGCTTTTCAAAGTGTGAATTGTTAGTGAGGGAGAGGGTTTCGGTGCAAAGACCGCAAAGGCATTTGAGAACCATGACAAACGTTGTTCTTTTATTATAAACGCCAAGAATATGTGCTACTTACAAAACATACTTTTTGCACGACTGAATTTTTCTCCCAACTCGGGGCTTCCTTAACTGCGAAAATTGGATTACTCTACTCGGCTCGTGTAATGCACCAAAATCCTCTCCTACCAAGGCCCGCTTTTTCTACAGATTCTAAGTATTTGATGCGAACTTTTTTGCACTTTGATTGCTCGATTATGACTACATGGTTTTCTTGTGTTTATACTCCCACTTCGATCGATTGCTCATAGGCAGTGGTCACGATGAAAGTTAAAGGGTTTCTTGCTGGATCCGACATCTAGTTAGACTTGTTGTCATATTCATCAAGAAACCGACTGAAATGCTCAAAAATGGTCTGTAGAAATACTTCGAAGGGCTCAAATGCGTGCTATTGTTTTGAGAGTGTTTGCAGAGCTCTTTCTCGTCTATCTAGACATTTTTTCTCAGGGGAAACAAAAGTTGAACGGGGTGATGTTTACCGTGGAAAATGAAACCAATGGTGGTGACTTTGACATGACCGTTTCACGTAAAATGATGAAGAGTTCTAAAATAGAGAAAATTGTTTCATTTCTAATTAAAAGATGCTGATGAACCCAAGCATTCCTAGACAGCGCTCACATTTGAGATAAGATCTCCAATGAGACGGAGTTTCCTCATACGTCCTTAATCGATTGGTATCTCCACATTCTATATATATATAAGCCATAGCGGAAAGAGTAAAAAAATACCTAACATATTTTTTGTACTCTTCCACACCTATAGGCTACGCATTTGAGTAACATAAAGAAATTTTACTGCAATTCCGTGGAATTTAAATTATTCTTAGTTATCGAATATATCCACCTGTTCTTTCTATCGCCGATAAAGGGGCCGGTTTCGGTCAGTCGTGGGCGTGCGACTGAAATAATCGCCTTTATTTCTCGCAAATTAGTTGGAAAGTTATAATGCTAGGAAGAGACGCCAAGCGCATCTCGAGGGCGTGCGCAGACTGCGAGGGAACTCGTCCATCTGAACCGAATCGGACCACATACCTTACACTCTGTTAGGCTTAGCCGATTGGTTTAGCCAGTTTTATTCAATCCTTCATTCCATTAAGAATATTTCATTGCTCGTGCTATGGGGCCGTTGATGTCCGTGCTTACACGCCAAATTACCACGAGAACTTTATTTCAGCCGTTCTAAGGTCAAACCTCGCCGTACCCGTCGTCACTATAACGAGTCCAAGTACCGAGGTGACAGGAGCCGAACGGTGGTGACACAATCCAGGAGGCCAGTAAACGAGAAGGCGTTCCGTTAGCCGTGTGATCTCGTCCTGATTGCCCACAGATTGCCATTCTAACGACTGCCTCAGATGTTTATATTTCTCTCTATATTAGGCGTTTACACGAATTCTTCCTCCCTCTCTTTCATACGGGTTTCTTCTGTTCCTTTGCAAAAATCTTCTATAGGGTCCTTTTGATACACAGATGTTGACTTCTCGTTGTCATTATTACCCGGCGTTCGGACGATATTTTTGAAATAACGCGCCCCAGTGTCACTTTGATCGAAAGCTCAACATACCGTATCCGTCTCTCGTTCGAACGTTGACCATACTCAGTATTCGCCTTATAACTGCATAATGTTGGTTTGATCTCAACATCATTCCCACAGAAATCTCATAAATCGTGGAATGAGCGAACTATCGATTTCCGATTTCCGATTCTCGGGATTCCGAAAATCGAGTTGATGATTTCTCGTGCTCGTTCCCGATCCAATCTTTATCCGCTCCTCCTCCTAGTCTCTTTGGAGCCAAATGTTCATGTGCCAATCGATCGATACTCCTGTCCCATTGCTCTTTACCGGTACTACCTTCATATCAATTTTGTCATCCCCACAGAGATACTGCCCTTTTCTTCTCATTACCAGTATCCATTTGCTTTGAATTTTTCATCACATAATATACATAGTTCGAGGAGCGTAATTATGGAATAAAGCTATATTTATTGAGCCATTTCAACAAAAACATGGGTTACATTGAGGGATTTAATGCGGGGCGAATCTTGAGTTACAACAGTTATAGCGACGGTAATGCGTAAACCATTTACTGAGTTATGTACAGACAATCGAAATCACAGAACTCGTAATGACCTTAGCGATGAATCAGAGTCTTCCATAAAGACTGCACTTATGTTATATTTCTAGCCCAGCATCCATTTTCCATTGTATTTAACCAGGCATGCATTGTAGCCACAAATCGTAGTACAACATCTGAAAAATTAGAATAGATTTTCCAAGTAATAAAAATTTATCGGCCTATTCGTTTGCAAACGGGCCTGGGGCGCTTTGAAGGGGACGTTGATCAAATGCAGCGATTACGATAGATTCAAGAAGGGTTTATTGTGACGTGGTGGTGCTCAATGGTACGCCAGTGCGAAAAAAGCAGAAAAATCCGTCAAGAAAACGCAAAACGGGACCCCTTTTTGGCCGTTGGTTTTCACTCATGAACAGGTAACAGCTCAGAAAGTGGACGTATGAATTCACCGCAACGCGTTTGATGGCACCATGCCAAACTACGCTTTAATCGAGATGCCATTGCGCCGCTGCTGGCCACGCAGCTCGTCCAAATCAACAAGTAAACTAGTGGGCGGATCGCTTTTGGGGGCGGAGCGCTTTCGAAGTCCTGCTCAGCAACCAGCGCACCTTTCGTCGTGAAAGCGCCCACATCTCGCTTGGCAACCAAGTAACTGATTCGTGTGGTGCATGCTTCCCCTGCTGTAATCGCTTCTTTTAAATGTTTGATTTGCAAGGTTGGTATTCAAGAAACATTCGATACGCATTGTCAGGCATCCTTATGTGTATGTGTTAATATTGGGTTGGTGCAATAATATCGTAGCGCTCGCATTCGGCAAAAACGTTCAAAGCAAAACCCAAAAGCAAAGCCAAGCCTAATCAGTGATGTTCTTCTCGTCATTATATACGACTTTGATCCCATTTCGCGAAAGATTGCCGGGTCCAGAATTTAAAAAAGGGTACTGAGCCCGTTTTCAGAGTCCTCATCATTCTCAATATGTACGACGTAAATATGATTTGTGATTGAGGGTCGATCGGAGTAAGTTTCGATGATGACGATAGATCCCGAAAAACTCCCATTTTGGCAGCTTTTTTCTTTATATAGATTTTCGCCCACCCTGAGTTTCCAACTTCTAAGCACCATATCTGAGTACATTTACAATATAGAAGAAAATAACAAACAAGGTTTTGTAGAGCGGAAGAAGTTGTTTTCCTCTAGAAAAAAACGGCTACCGCTAGTATTCACCAACCCCCCAATACAAATTAGGAAGGATAAATAAATAAATAGGTGAATTAATAAAATAATTCGCTATTAGCTAGAGAAATGCAGGGTACCGGGATTCGAATTGATACTATTCTGTCTGGAAATTTGACAAAAAAATGAGATGAAGAACGTCAATGTTAAAAAAAACAGCAAAAAGCGCTAAAGAGACCACTAAAATGCAACTTCTGAGGTCAGTCGCGCGGTATTCGGAAAGACACTGCGCTGCGGGGAGAGGAAAAATCAAGAGAGCACGCAGAGTCGCAAACGCCACATGGCTGCGAGATTGAGCGAGCGATGGCAGGACGCAGCACGAGCCGGCATTTACCACGGTGCCCGCAATTTTGACTAGCGGACTGGTTCCCTCTCCTGCCTTAAAGGAATCTTCCACGGACCATGGACCAGTGGGCGGGACCGGAAGTTTTTGTGACGAAATGCATGGTAGGTACGGATCCACGTGTCGAACGCACGAACGTGAACAGGATTCACTTCAAACCTTCCCATGAACGTGGATCCGTACCTACCATGCATTTCGTCGCAAAACCACTTCCGGTCCCGCCCACTGGTCCATGGTCCGTGGAAGATTCTTTAAATTTTTCCTGCTGCACTATTGCGAGCGACCACTTCTTGAAACCTTCCCGACTTTGAGCTCTAATGCATTATTTTCAGGCGCAAGGGAAGAAACGCGGCTAGAAAGACACAGCAAAACAATGATTGCGGTAAGCGACGCTAAAAAATACAACGGGGTTTGAAGTAAATGTGGGTTCCTGTGTATTGCCTGTACTTGCTCTAGCATATATAACTGCTTGTTATATTTCGAAGCGATTGTAATAGTAATTGCTGTATGATCTCGCCGTACCATGCTTGAGCCTTGATCTTGTGATCACGGAAACGGGATCCCGGATCCGGAGATGGTATGCACAACAGGAAGGCCTAGTAATGATGACAGCGACGGGCGGGGTTTGCCAAAAAGTGTGTGGAATGTGAGTCGACTTCACTTTCAGCCCCTTCGTCGGGCGCTATCAAGGGGCAAAGGGGGTGCAACATCAACGCTTATTAGCCTGTCTATCACGACTGGGGACGAAATAGATGAGCGTGCTTAATCCCAGACCGTGCCTTTAACTGACCCCTGGTCATGGAAGGTGTGGCTGGCCCGGACGGCGTACCCAACTCTAGCGCCATTGTCGCGCACTGTGCTAGGATCAGAAGTTGATTCTCGGACAGCGCGCGTGATAAGCCGCTTGCCACTATACACACCGTTCTCCGATATTCTACGATATTCTGGAAAAATTTATTTCATAAATGAAGATGTTAACTACGAATTGTAGCAAATTATCAAAGCTTGCATTTCATATTTTCGCAGATTTTTGTAATGGTTAGCATTTATCAAAGCACGTCACAAAGACTCCGTAAAATACGTATAAAAAAGTTAAAATTGACTAACTTTCGTGGTTGCATTGAGTTCACGGACGGGCACTCGGCATCCGACAAACACCAGCTTGTCGGTTTTCTCATCGTACATGTCATTTGCAATGTGTACGGATCAGGACAGCTCTCTTGCTCTTCTGTATCGGAAGAGTACACTGAAATTAGCAGCTGTGTTCAGCACTAGTAGGAAGTCAGTAGACCATACGGTAACTTATTTTAACAAGAAAACCATTCGGTAATTTATTTTGAAAAAAAAATATTACGTGAACTACAAACTTTGCTCAGAGTCAAAAAGTTGGGCAAGCATCAAGCACGTCGCATGCCTACATTTCGTGGTCACTCCAACCCTCCCTAGCATGTGCCCATGGAATTTTTTGGCTCAGACAGTGCCACGTTCTTATTTTCAATCCTAGCCTTTTACTCAACTACCTCTGATTTTTCAGATATCCATACTGAGGGGTGGCTTATGTGCGACCATAATAGTAAACGGAAAATTTTATGAAAACTTAAAAATTCTTCAGGTCCAAAAAATCACTCGCATCTTCCCCAGAAAAGGCAACTCTGCTAATTACGATTTCCCTGAAAGGATACAAATACAACGCCCTGGCTTAACAATGGTTACTCAAAGCAACAACTTCGGATGATTGGGGCCCCTGGGAGGGTACCCTCCACTTCGCTAGAGCACAGAACTATCCTTTGACCAAATAATTGAGAGTTGATCTGCTTATCAAAAAACTCACATAAAGGAAATCGTCGATGTCGCGTCACACTCTGCGGTACTCCCATGTGAACGCACATGTTGTAATTGCAGCCGGTTGGACAGCACTTGGACGGCATCGTCGACGATCCGTGACAATCGTAGTCCTTTGAGCACCTTGAAAGCACACATGAACGGTTGAAAGGGCAAGCGATCAAGTGATAGAGCGCCCAGATGCGCACACAAGTTTTGTTCACTGTAATGGAAATTCCAATGTACAGATACAATAGTTACCGAACTCTAAGAACACAGGACATTCCAGGGTAGTTTCCCCCCTAGGGAGTCTGTGACAACCTTTACTGAAACAATTGCTATTAGAAGCTGCACGAGGCCGGTTTAAGCGCAGAAAAAGATCGACCATCTCCTTGCTGGGTGTCCAAAAGTGCCGGAAGCGAATAAAAAATTCGATGGGTCGGTTCCCTATGGTAACAAGATTTTGCACCCGTGAAAAAAAAATGAAAAAGAACAAATAACAAAGAACTAAGTTTCAAATGATGAGAGGTGGGCGGAGGGGGGTGGCAAGGGATTACACTAATCGCTGACTTTCCAAGCACCAACGAAGGCGACCACCAAGCTAAAAAGTCAGTTGAATAAAGTACTTGTTAAATCTTCGACGAAGTTTCAGTAACAACTTGACAAGATTTTTTCTGCAATCCCAGCTAGCTTATTTCTATGTTCTGTTTGTCTAAATCTTTTGTCCAGCAAAAAATTTTCTCACTGCGGCAGGTTGTTCGTAATAAGGCGTGCCTTTCACCTCTATTTCCGAAATGACATTTCTTATTTCGTGGTGGGTATTACTTAGCCAAGCACTGTCGAAAACTACACGTTTTTGTTAACAAAAACGATTTCAGCTCGTTAGGTCGTCATTAGTCTGAGCACTTCCTTGGGCTGTAGAATGGACAAAGATCTTCTACCGCTCTCTGAAGCCTTTGAAGCAAAAAAAACTCGCCCAGATGGTTGAAAATAAGTTTAGTGATGGGAATGAGGGATTCGTAGAGTATAACATGTAAAAGAACCGCTTTCCTATTGCAAAAGGAATTCAGTTTTATACGAGGATAACCATGAAACTCAGAAGCTAAAAACGCTGTCGCTCGACTCTGCAGAACGCCAATACTGTTGTAGCCAAGTTATTTCATGCCATGCCTACTTTTCCAGCTTCCCCACCTTACCAATAATGAGCCACTCCAATAACAGTTCCATTTTTTCTTCTATTAACCATTTGACGACAATGGCACCCACTGGTGGGTGCCACTATGTTTGCCGCTCGGGACAATGGCACCCAATGGTGGGTTCCACCTTGAAATCTCCTCTGGGAATTCAAAACATTTGTGACATCTCAATAATCATGCCGGTTAAATAATATCCATGTCTAGCACCGCTGACAGAAATGTTTATTAAGAGCTAAATTACATAGAATTTTAGGCTGTGCCATTTAGCTCGTCAGCATATTAATTGGGGTTTGCATTATTAGCTGAAGAATAAATAGTATCTGCGACTTCTTCGTCTTTTCATTGCCCTCAGATAAGGGAAGGGGTTTGAAGTGTATCGAAAATTCCCTTGGACACCTAATTTTTAGAGGTTTTGCCCTCCTCCCTTTGAAACCTTCAACTTCCATTTGAACCCGAGTTCCCCTTCTAAATTTGGAATTCTCTTGAAAACAATATATAGCATGAAAGCCTGAAACTGCAGTTATATCTGGTACGCTGCTGAAGTCAAAAATTCTGAAGAAAAACTGCTTTGAGGGACAATTTTTGCACAACTGTAAGCGAGAGTTGGCGCGCCAAAAAAGGCGTGGTCCCATGAGCAAGCTACGCGTAAATCCGCGTTTGTCGTCAAAGGGTTAAGTGCTGCTTCATTCTTTTGTGCAACACTCTAGAATCTTCTTCTACCACAGTTTTTAAACGATCGCCGTCAACAACGTCGGTATGCCCCTCGTCGTCGCCCCCTCTTGGGAAGGGCGGATTTCCATGAAATCTAAACTAAGGACAATTGCCTCGCAGCTTCGCTGCTTCAGTGTGCGTTTCAGTGCGTCGTCTAATTATTACAAGAGTTGCACTTACCAGCTTACTCCTCGGTACTTTCGGCATTGGATGTTGAGAGCGCTAGGAGAGGGCCACCTGAGTCGTTGCAAATTATACCTTCTATTGCGCACATTTCCAACCTTGCCCTTCTCTTTTGGTACAATTAAAAACCTCCGCGTGACAGCCTATAGAAGAGCAAAAAATAAACGTCGATATCGCGCTACCGACAGGAGGCCCGCCTGACACAGACACAAGCAGAAGACGAAGCGGCGAACGCGAGGCCTACTGCCCCACCAATTTTGGCGTCAAATCGGAACGGAATGACTTTATCGTCCAACAATCGCATAAAAAATCTCCTGGTGCTATACAAGTAGGGTGGGCACGCCGCATTTTTTGAACAGAAATGTATGTAAGTGGGACTGCTGCCCGCTACTATACTGTCACGAGAATCGGGGAATTCGTGAGCCAGGGGGAGTGTAGCCAATCTAGGGGGTGGGGGGGGTGAGGGCAGTCACTTGACATGCGTGAAAAGCTGGGCGTGCCCACCCCACTTGTATAGAACCCAGTGTCCGACTCGTCCCCCGACCCTTCTGCGTCTCTGCCTTCTCGCCGTGTGACGGGTCTCCTGTATGTGTCGATATCGATTGATTCACTCGAGGTGTAGTACGCTACCACGTGGTGTTTGATTTATGTTCAAGATTAGCCGAAATTGTAAGAGCGCATTTTTTCGGGCTTTTTTTTCACACCCACTAGCTAAGGAGTTCCGGCAGATAGGATGTGTAGGTCTATCATGTCAACACGGTCCTGTGCCTTGACACCTCAATCTCTCTACCATTTATGACTCAAACTGACTTACGTCTTCTGAGATGGATTTGTACAGCAAGAGCCGGTAGTGACTCCATTGATACAAACCGTTCCCGACTCACAAGAAGGGGATGGCATGCACGAGTGGAAGTACATCGAACACAACGGCAGAGCGGGAAAGGCTGGAAAAAATCTTGTCAATCCTTCAAAGCAAATGCTCCACAAATACAGAAATAAGCCGACGCTAAATGCTTTCTGAGGTTGCGGCTATCGTTGGCGCTTTATAAAACCTTACAGGGTATGCACAAATGGCTACACCCTTACTCACACTTGCTAAGCTTGGTAAATTCCATGTTCTTATTGGCTCACATTGGTTTCCTGGGTATCCGCCAGGAGGCCCGTCGCGCGGCAAGAAGGCAGAGTCAGCGGACGAGTCGCAGCGCGTACTGTAGTGATTTCGCGTCAAGTTAATAGAATGTACCATTGTACGTCCTACATCGCACACGCGCTGCGACTCGTCCGCTGACTCTGCCTTCTTGCCGCGCGACGGGCCTCCTGTCGGGTACCCTGTTTTTATTGCGAAATGTGGTATTTTCTGAAATTGCACATCTGCGCTATAATACTTCGATGAAGCGGCTTTTCCAAAGATTAAGTCGCTTCCTTATTTTGAAGTTATGATTTAATTGCCCTGACAAGGTATCACGACCTGTGACTTTCCGAAGAGTCTCACCTGGAAGGTTTTCAGGTCGTGCCCCGCTCTCGAAAATGCTTTTTGAGTGATGTAGGGAC